ATGAAATTCAACGATGAAAAAAGTTCTACATTTAGTCAAGAAAAACCAAATGCACAGGTATAGTAGGTGGTACCTTGCTCAATAGTAGCAACTGTGATAGGGATCTCAGAGTCCTAATGGAAATCACTTAGATATGAGCCAGCAGTGTGCTGCAGCTGCCAAAAAATGCCAACACAGTGTTAGGCTGCATTAACAGAGTGATAGCATCAAGAACACATGAAGTATTAATACCACTTTACAATGCCTTGGTAAGGCCACACTTGGAATACTGCATCCAGTTTTTGTCACCACAATGTAAAAAAGATGTTGAGACTCTAGAAAGAGCACAGAGAAGAGCAACAAAGATGACTGGACGTCTGGAGGCAAAAACATATAAGGAACAGTTGCTGGAATTGGGTAAGGTCAGGGGTAAGCAACCCAAAACACTAAAAGAGCCACTTGGACCCATTTCCCACCAAAAACAAAGCACTGGGAGCCGCAAAACCCTTTTGATATCTAAAATGAAGATAACACTGCATACATCCTTTTTTACCTTATATATATAAGGTAAATATATATATATATATATATATATATATATATATATATATATATATATATCTCTGGCAAGCTGGCTTCAAGCTCTTCTCCAACAAGCTCAGAGGTAGGCAACCTCCGCTCTTTTATAACTCATGGACTTCAACTCCCAGAATTCCTGAGTCAGCATAGCTGGGCTAGCTAGTTCTCTCCTGTCCTTTCTGTTTCCTGCTTCCTGCTTCCTGCAGAGACACAGCAAAGGGAGGAGCCCCGCCCCAAAAGCTTTTCAGCTTGTCGGAAAATACCATGAGTCTACTCTCTTTTACACACACACACACACAACCACAAAAACAGAGACAGAGAGAGAAGCAAGGAAGCGCAAGTGCCTCTCTCTGTCTCTGTCTGCAAATGGCAGAGGAGTCTGGGAGCTACAGGGGAAGGCTCAAAGAGCCGCATGCGGCTCCAGAGCCACAGGTTGCTGACCTGTGGTCTAGTTTAATGAAGAGAAGGATGAAGGGGGATATGATAGCAGTATTCCAATATCTCAGGGGCTGCCACAAAGAAGAGGGAGTCAAGCTATTCTCCAAAGCACCTGAAGGCAGGACAAGAAGCAACGGATGGAAACTAATCAAGGAAAGAAGCAACCTAGACCTAAGGAGAAACTTCCTGATGGTTAGAACAATTAACCAGTGAAACAACCTGCCTCCAGAAGCAGTGAATGCTCCAACACTGGAAGTTTTGGAGCATTTACAGCTTCTGGAGGCAGTTTGTTCCACTGATTAATTATTTTTAGGATCAAATTTATAGTGCACTAGACTTCAATAATAAAACATTATTACTGATGACAGGTAATATAATACAAATATTGGAAGCAAGAATTGTCAATTATTTATAATCCAATTCTGCATATCTGTAGAGCACTAAAATTCTATGTCTTACTATATTACAGTAAAAAAAAGACTGTAAAAAAAAGGATTGTAAAAAAAAGGAGTAATGCAGATTTGTTCTAGCTCAGCCAGAACTTTCAAACTAAACAAATGGAATAAAAACACTGCGGAATCCTACTTGCCCCATTTTTAAATACATGTATTGAAAAATAAGTTGGCGAACAATATAAATCAAAAATAATAAAAATGACATATTAAAACTTCAATATATTTTGACTTCAATATATTTTGACAGGGCTGATGATCAGCAGCAAATGTAGCTGTAGCCAGTATACTTTCATTAGCATAAGACACTGCTGGCTGGTATAACTGCACATGAAGTGCAAGTGAACAAAGCTAAAGACCGATGAATCAAGAATGCCTAAACTTGTTGGACTCAGTCCATGCAGCGTTAACAAAATACTAACAAGGGTATTATAAAGTCCAGCAAATGAAATGGATAATAAGATGATTGCTAATCATCTAAGCCAGAACACAACAGTTTATGCTCATAGAAACTTAGACTGGTTCAATCACCTGAAAAGGTAAGAGAATACTTGTCCACTATAGTCAAGTTCAAATCACTGAGATCTGATGGATTAATTCCCAGAGTTCTGAAGGAGCTGGCAGATGTGATCTCAGAACCACCAAACCATATCTTTCAAAGATCCTGGTGCACAGAGGACCTACCAGCGGTCCGGAAAAAAGCTGATGTGGTTCCCATCTTCAAAAAAGGGGAAAAAAACAGATCCAGCAAACTACAGACCAATCAGCCTGACATCAATACCTGGGAAGATCTTGGAAAAGATAATCAAGCAACAGATTTACGAACACCTAGAAGCAAGCAAAATTATAACCAGAATCCAGCACTGGTTTGTTAAAAAACAGATCATGCCAAAAAAATCTTATTTCATTCTTTGACAAAGCAGCTAAATTAGTGGACCAGGGAAATGCTATGGACATAGTATTTTTCAGTGGTGGCGAACCTATGGCACGGGTGTCAGAGGTGGCACTGAGCCCTCTCTGTGGGCACGCGCACTGTTGCCCCAGTCCTAGGCCTTCAGCTGGGTTTTATAAAACCTTTTCGCTTCAGGCCTCCACCACCGTGTGCAAAAAAAAAAAAGGTTCAATCAATCAGTCAATTTCAACTTCTCACGGGAAAAAAAGATCTTGCAAAGTTGGAATTGATTGATTGAACTTTTTAGTCCCACCCAGTTGCCACCGCAGCCATGCCCACCCAATGGGCCACACCCACCTGGCACCTGACCATGCATAAGTGGGTTTTGGGTTGCAGTTTGGGCACTTGGTCTCTAAAAGGTTCGCCATCACTGATATATTTGGATTTCAGTAAGGCATTTGACAAAGTAGACCACAACCTACTTCTTGGTAAGCTAGAAAAATGTATGCTAGACAGCATCACTACCAGATGGATTCTTAACTGGCTGACAAACTGCATTCAATGTGTAGTCCTTAATGGAACTACATCGAGGAAAGTAAGCAATGGGTACCCTAATGTTCCGTTTTAAGGCCAGTACTTTTCAACATCTTCATAAACAATTTAGATGAGGGAATAGAAAGGAACTATTCAAATTTGCAGATGACACTAAACTGGCAGGAATACCCAATACCCCAGAAGATAGGCTCAAGATCCAGATGGAACTTTGGACTTGAACATTGGACCCTATCTAACAAAATGAAATTAAATGTAGAACAAAGAAAGGTTTTACACTTAGGCAAGAAAAAACAAATGTACAGGTACAGATTAGCTGAAACCTGATTCAATAGCAGTATCTGTGAGAGAAATCTTGGAATCCTAGTGGACAATCACTTAAATACCAGCAGTGTGAGCCAGCAGTATGTGGCAGCAGCCCAAAAATCCAAAGCAATACTAAGCTGCATTAACAGTGGAATAGAATCAAGATCAAGTGAAGTATTTATACCACATTATAAAGCCTTAGTAAGACCACATTTAGAATACTGCATACAGTTTTGTTGAACATATTATAAAAAGGATACTGAGACTGTGGAAAGAATGCAGAAAATAGCAACAAAGATGATTAGGGGGCTGGTGGTAAAAATATATGAAGAATGGTTGCAGAATTGCTAGTCTAGTGAAAAGAAGGACTAGGGCTGACATGATAGCAGTGTTACAATATTTAAGGGGCTATCACAAAGAAGAGGGGATCAACCTATTTTCCAAGCACCAGAAGGCAAGACAAGAAGGAATGGATGGAAACTAATTAATAATAATAATAAAAGTTGGAAGGGACCTTCGAGGTCATCTAGTCCAACCCCCTGCTCAGGCAGGAAACCCTATACCATTTCAGACAAATGGCTGTCTAATCTCTTCTTAAAAACTTTCAGTGTTGGAGCATTCACAACTACTGGAGGCAGGTTGTCCACTGATTCATTGATGTAACTGTCAGGAAATTTCTCCTTAGTTCTAGGACTAGGTTGCTTCTCTGTTTGGTTAGTTTCCATCTGTAATGTATAAGGTCTACTTGAGTAGGTTTGACTGGAAGAACTCCAAGGCCTCTTCCAACTCTATAATTCTGTTATCTTGAAAAGCACAATAATAGCCAATCTGCCTATCTTACTGTCCTTCAGGTATGTTTTCTGTACAATAATACTTGTGATGAGATTTGTACTGCAATATATATGATAGTATCAGACTAGGAACAACCAAGTAGACAAGGTCTACAAGGCTAGGTCAGGGGTAGGCAACCTTGGCTTTTTTATGACTCGTGGACTTCAACTCCTATGCTGACTCAGGAATTCTGGGAGTTGAAGTCCATGAGTCATCAAAGAGCCAAGTGGTGGAAATTTTTACTGGAGTCACCTACTAGCTATTATCATTGCATTAGAGACCATACACTTCATTTTACTGCCATCTTTTTTATCTTTTATTGTAATTTCTTTTGATTACTGTGAGCCACCCAGAATCACTGAGTTGGGTGGCATACACATTACAGTAACTGGTTTAGTGAATTCACACAGTAAACACTAACTACACCATTAACCTTGATTTACAGAATGGCTGAATTCACAGAAAATATCAAGTCGAAACCAGGCAATCTACATAGTACAGCTTCATGCTTTTACTTATCTGGTCTAAGACAACTTTTGATGTTCCTCGTTTTAAAAATATCTTCCTCAACTGGAGGACAGGTAGAATAGACGCCACGGCTGATAGGTAAAAATTCGTTCACGGTGTTTTATTATTTAACCACTACCAATTGCTTATTACCCTTTATTATTGGAGGCCCAGAAAATGTTGAGAAGCTCTATTCAATACGAACGGAAGCGTATATATTAGTGAGTGTTCGCATTTATTCGAAAAGCAGGCCATCCAAATGTCTCCAATTGCGGGGAAGGAAGAAAGGAAGGAGTGAAATAATAGAAATGTTGGGACAAGTTATTCCTAGGGAAGGAAATACAAATCTGGTTCCTATCTGGCCTCTCTTTCTCTCCGCTCTTTCTCCGCCCTCCTATTAAGTCCAAGCTCAGGGCAACCGCCTCGGCGACAACTATTGCGCAGGCGCCCAAGGGCCCCCGGTCACGTGGCAGGAACGGGGGCGGAGCTGAAGCTTCCTAGCGTCGCTCGGCGTCCATGGCACCGTTTTCAGTCACCGGAAAGATGAGTACTTCCGCCTTCTGGTCTTCCTTCCGTGGAGGATCCGGCGGGGCTTAGGCTGCGGTCCGCCAAGCTAGGCTTAGATTGGGTGCCATGCGGCGGCTTTGGCCGCCGCCGCCACTGTTGCTTTTGCTGGTGCTGCTTTCGGCGTTCGCGCTGTGCGGAGGAGGAGCGGCGCTTCCCCCGGCTCCCACCGCGAAACATCTTTCCACATTGCCGCTCCCTCTGTCAGCAGTGCGGGCGGACCCCGACGATGTGCCCTCGGACACGCCGGGCGGCAGCGGCTCTTCTGTCGTCGAAGGAGCGCGGGCCGGCGGCGTGAAGGGGAACGACAGCATGGCCGCCGCGGCCCCCGGCACGCAGGTCAACCAGCCCATGACCCAGCGCGCCCTTTCGGTGCTGGTCCTGGCCAGCGCTGCCCTCATCGTTTACTTCGTCATCCGGACCGTGCGGTGAGCGGGGCCTCAGCCTTTCCTTCTCACTCAGTCCCGGGAAGGGCTATAGACACGCCCCACCCTTCCCCGGGTTTTGCCCTCTGAACACGGGCGCGTGCCCGGACCTCGACGAAACTAAGCCTTGAGTTTTTCGGAGCGTGGGGAGAGAGAGCTTAGTACAGGTAGTCCTCGACTTATGACCACAATTGAACCCAGAATTTATGTTGCCAAGTGAAAAATTTGTTAAGTGAGTTTTGCCCCATTTTACGACTTTTCTTGCAACATTTGTTAAGCAAATCACTGCAGTTGTTAAATTAGCAGCATGGTTGTTAAATGAATCTGGTTTCCCCATTGACTTGACTTGTCAGAAGGTCATAAGAGATTATTACAGGATTCAGGACATTGCAACTGCCATATAAACCAGTTGCCTAGCATCTGAATGTAAATCATGTGGCCGTGGGGATGTTTCAATGGTCATAAGTGTGAAAAATGGTTCCTTTTTAAATTGCTGTTGTAACTTTGAACGGTCACTAAACGAACTGTTGTAAGTCAAGGGCTACCAGTAGTTTGCTTCCTTTCGGCCCTTCTTCCACTTCCTGTCCTGTTAACCTTTTCACATACATTTCTTTGGTTCTGGTAAACTTAAGGAATCATTTTAGAATCTTCTTTTTTTAATCTTGTACTGTTTTTGCTGGGTGTATCTTTGCTGTTTATGTGGAATGTTAATTTTGTGGCTCACATAATTGTTTTGAAGTCCTTGTTTGGGTTTTACATTCCTTCACCACCCAAAACAGGCCACCTGAATACAGGTAATAGACTAGTGGATGTCTAATGCCCCCTGTTCTCACACTGAAAAAGATTGGTAGGATTTAAACACAGTTTAAAGTTCAAGTAACCAGAAGGTGGCTTCAAGTTAACATTCTGTAAAACTGGCAGGTCATAATGTGGAGGATAATGTCATTAGAGTTCTTGTCAAGTTATAAAAGAGACAGGCTCTTTTTATCTTATATGTCCTATGATACAGAGACTGCAGTATAAATCTGCATGGATTAGGACTACATGGACTTCAACATGTGATAAATGCAGAAAAATAGTGATGCAAACATATACTTATGGATATAAAATTATTGTATTTTGTCTACTCCTTTAGCTCTCTTTCTGTCAAGCATCTCTGCAGTGCTTACAGAAGCACTGATACCACCTGAGATGTAGCTAAAATGATGACTGACAGATGAAGTCTGAAATACTTATGCAATCTTGGAAAGAGGGTTTGAAATGAATAGTTCTAGGATCATAACAAAATACCTATAGTTCTTATGACCACAATTGAGCCCCAAATTTCCATTGCTAAACAATACTGTTGTTAAATGAATTTTGGCTCATTTTACAACCTTTCTTGCCATAGTTAAGTAAATCACTGAGTTGTTAAGTTTGTAACACGATTAAGTGAATCTGACTAATCTGTTGACTTTGCTTGTCAGAAAGTCACAAAAGGTGATCACATGAGCTTGGGACACTGCAACCGTCATAAATGCATACCAGTTGCCAAGCATACAAATTTTGATCATGTGACCATGGGGATGCTGCAACAGTTGAATGAAAAATGGTCATAAGTCATTTTTTCAAGTTTTGTAATGTCAAACTATCAGTAAACAAATGGTAACTCAAGGACTATCTGTATAGCAATAAAAGATAGCTTTTAGAGATTTAAAGGAAGAATAAAAAAAATGATTGGTATACATTTGTTAAGTCTAGTGAGCTATTGAAAAGTCTAGTTTCAAGTGGTTACCAGTTGCATAAAACAAGGCTTTTGAAAGCTTAAAAATCCTCAAAGGATAAAAGAATGTTCAGTAAGTCATGTGAATTTCATTTGGTGTTAATTGGAAGCTAAAGATGTAGATAAAAAAATGGAAAGATTGATCCTAATAAAACTTATCTAGAGCAAGATTCCTCTTTCCTCTTGCATAGATACCGAGTGGACTTTTAAAGGGATCGGTTAAATGTTGATGCTAACTCAGATTTTGGAGCCTCTTTTGAATTTCTTGATCTTTCAAGGTAGCCTTTTCATGGTGTCCAAGAGATTAGGTGGGAAAGTCAATTTTCACTAGACATACACCATAGATATTTAATTGAATCTTACATAAAATAAGCAGATATATTTTGGTAAAGTCTCTATCCTAAATACAGTTTAAGCTTCATTTTTGAAAAATTATCAGATATGTTTTTAGGAGAAATTTGTGAATATTTGTTTTAAATTGGTATGCTACATTTCAGTATTTTCTGTATAACGAGCTGTGTAGTACTGTACAAGGGGAAAATCCTTAGTTCAAATGTTCTTCATATAAGCGTGACAAATGTGCTCCTTCAATATTTATCTACATGAAGCATAGATTTACCAGAAAATCAGAAATCTGATAGCATCTTTTCTGACCAGGAATAAGCTTTTAGAGGCTATAGTTCACTTCATCAGATGCAACTCTTAAGTTTCGTAAGTGCTTATGGTACTGTCCTAGGTTTGGTTCTTTCAAATTTCAAAATGGTGCACATGAATTGCAGAGTTTTTTTCCTTCAATTTATTTTATTTATAAAGCCACATATGAATAACTATTTTCTGAAATATTGAACAGTATCAGAAATATTTTTACTAAATTTATATATCACTCATCTCACTATCCAGAGTGACTCCAAGAGCACTTTTTAATACACACACACATGCATACATACATACATACATACATACATGCATGCACACGCGCACAAACACACAGGCAGATATACCAGTAAGCTTGTGCATGGGATTTCATTTTCTTGTTCAATATCATAGCAGCCCTTTCTTAGAATCACTAACACCATTGTAATTAAAGGCCAACAAGCCAGTATAAACAACATCTTTTGAGAGTGATTTTGGACAAATAAAGTGCAACGAAACATTCAGTGAGTACAACTATTGCTTTAACTTGAAGTTCATGCTGTAAAACTGCAATTGACTCACTGTTTATCTGGCAATATCACCTTACCTGCTGAAGTGTTTCTTTTAATTCTACAATATTTATAAGTTATTCTTGAATAATATAATTTACATGAGAGACACAAGTAATACTGTAATACTTGAATGAAGAAGTGGAACACATACCAGATTTATATGGTTCAAATGCTTCATTTTTATTTTGTACGCTTAAAGTTCAAATCTCTACTCATATTAGTCTTCCTTGTCCCTGATCAATACACTATGACATTTGTATTTTTAGACTTAGACGAAGAAACAGGAAGACGCGGAAATATGGTGTTCTGGACACAAACATAGAAAATACAGAGCTGACACCTTTAGAACAAGATGATGATGATGATGATAACACATTGTTTGATGCCAATCATCCTCGAAGGTTAGTATCTTTATTTCTGGAGGTAAAATAATAAGACAGAAGAAATTATCAAAACACATTTGAAAACCAAGCTGAATGTATTTATAAAGTAGATATTTTATACAAGCATATATTACTATGTAGCTTTAAATATTCCTCTTTGATTAGAGATTATGGTTATAGGAGCAGTGTTGTGCAGTTTTTGAAGGAAGATGTGTGATATATTCATTGTAAATGAAGCAAACAATTATATGCAACCAGATGAGTGAGAATACGAAATCCATAGCGTTTTGATTAGATGGCAATATTCACTCTTTATAAAATAAGCTACAAACTTATCATGTTAATGTTTTAGGCATTTGATTATTGATAATGTTTGTATTTGTTGGGGAGGGAAAGCTATTTTGCTGTTGCACGCTGTGTTTTCTTAAAACTCTGTTCCAGAAATGATAATTATGTTTAATTAAATAAGCCTTCTGTCTTGTGTTCTATTCTTGGTAGTAATTTATTTTGAAAATATTGAGCGTAGCAGTCTCCCAGGTAGCAGAGGCTGTCTGTTTATTGTAGCTTTGGTTTTCACTTGCAGCAATCTGGTTTTGAAATATAGATAATATCTCCAGTGGTATTCTGCTTTTTTATTCATGTTTCAGTAGCTTTCTTGTACAGAAAATCAATACTGTAAGCTTAAATATTAAGGCTTTTTATAAAAGGCAAGCCATTTTTTTATCAGTAGAACAAAAATCTGTATTCTTTAAAAACCAATATGTGCTTTGCGGATACACTATTTTTAGTCAGAACTGACATGGAATATCTGAAAGAAGGATAGGAGTTGCAAGCAATTTTCGCTGGATACTATTCTAGAAAAAATCATGACAAATTTAACCTGTGATTGATTCCCTTATTAAATGGATGTAAGAGATCTATCAAATTAGACTGCTTACAATTTTAGCTAAGATAGAGTGGGTTTTTAACCTACAAATTTTTTTAACCAACTGGGCTCTTAGCTTAAAAATTCCTACCATAATTGCATAGTATGGAAAAAATTATAGACAATATTCCAGCTTTCTACATGTATGAGTCTGGAGAGAGAGAAATCTATTAAAGAAGAATTGGAGTAAAATGCATTTCTGATAATTACTGGCAATACAATTCTGTAAAAATGAATTATCAATGTATTGTTAAGAGTGGAGAGTGACCATGTCATTCTAGAATTTACCATAATATTGGCACAGGTAACTGAACATAGACTAGTATTTTAAACTTTAAGAGAGTTGACTTCAATAAACTAGGAGAAAGATTCGGGACGATTTTATGACTGGGAATCCTAGAGGGAAAAACAGTTCAGGATGCTTGAAGAACTCTGAAAATGAGATAATAAAGGCTCAAACAAAAACAATACCACAGAGAAAGAAAAACAAGAGATTCCAGATGAAACCAGATGGTTGCACAAAGAGCTCTCCAACAAATTGAGGAATAGAAAGGACAAGTATGGGCAGCATATATATTTAATAAATTTAATAAATAAATCTAACCAGGTCTTCAGGGATTGGGGCCAAACAAATCTCTGGATACAATGTTCTATGGGGTAGATGTTATAGCAATATATTACAATACATTGGATAATATGAGTTCCTACTTTTGTGAATATTGAATTTAAAAATATGTAACCATGTTAATTTGGGTGAGCAGGTTTTGTTTATTTTTTTCTTTTTCTTTATAGATAAGTATGTGCCTTGTGGGAAAATATTTCAATTGTGGAGCAACAGAAGAAACTGTTTGGAAGGAACCTAAAGCCAATATCAGAGTTGAGAATATGAAATGTATTATGACATCCTTAGTTTGTTGCAATAAATACTAACATTTTATTGTACCTTTTGTATATACAGAAATATTGTAAGGTCAAAGCCTATGGAAATAGCGCACTAAATTTCTAATCTATTTTCAACAGGGTATTTTCTGCTTTTATTAATTTGTGATCTTTTTGAAATTCTTTTGTCGGCCAATTTTTTTTTTTATGTAAACTGTGGTAATTTATTTGTTTGAACTCCTTGCAGCTAGCCAAATCTAACCATGTGTCAGAGGAATGTATGTTCTTAGTAAATTAGATGTATACTGAAGCTCTGTGTGAATGATGTAAATAAATGTTTATGGTATTCCTAACATTCTTTCCTTGTTCTTTGAATCTGTTGGTTTTACATGTTGTGATTTGTATGGAAGAAAAATTGCTTGCAATTACTGATCTTCCATTAGTTGAATTTAGAACAACTTTTTTCAGCAAGTATAAATTAATGGAACTTTTATTTATTCTATGCCTAGTTTCAAATGCCATAAGCTAGTTAGAGAAGAGCTTCTTGATGTCTTTTAATGTAAGATGTGCAGAATTGCTAAGGCATCTATCAGCATTTTTCTATGTGCAAGCTTTCATGGCAACTGTTGAAGAAAATTCCACCATTATAATACCTGGAGGTATATCAAATAATTTTACATAATAGGCCCATACAATATAATTGAATTTCTCGTGTACTAATGGCTTGTTATATGAAAATGTATGGGAATCTAATTATTCGGAAATGAAACAGACTATTCAAAGTTTTTTTTACACACACACATACTCAGCTATTCCTTGCTTAGTGGCTACCTCATTTAGTGACTCTCTGCAAATTCCATGGTAATTTTTTTAAAAAGCTTTTTCCAACCAATGTGCAGAATTTTAACCAAATTTCTGCATGTGACAACAGTGCCTGCCACAGTGATAATAAAGGTGGCTTTGCTGCACAAGAGAATTTTATCCAGCTTCTGATCTAGGGAACAGATTATCACTAATGAGAGAGTGTATATACAATGTACATAATTTTTAATTATTAAAAGTGTGGTATAATGTACCCTTCCTTTCCCACTTTCATCAACAGTAAAATTTAACTCTTTGAAAATAAGATTGACAAGTTGAAGATTCTTAGTACTTAGAAGAATTAGGAAAATAATATTACTATATGCTATTTTTGATTTAGAAGAAATATATATATTTCAACTTATTTTTCCCATTATTCATAATATATTGAAACTCCTATATTTTGAACACAGTAATTTAGAAGAGTTTTTGTCCAAATAATGAATTATTTCAGTTCTGTAATGTTAAACATTTCTTGAGTCAAAACTTTATTGGAATATCCACATTTGCTAGATATCCCAATAGATTATAAAAAATTGCCTACAATGAAATTATTACTCTGGCAGTCATCGCTCGGAAGTCCTTGAGCCCTCGTGGGATTCCTGCCCCGGAGGTTGTTGGGTGTGAGTCCCTCCTATTGAAGTTGGGTTTACGGGTTCAGTTGGGCTTGCTGCTGACGTACCTACCTCCCAGCTGCGTTGCAACAGCCCTGCCTGCGTTGCTGGAGTCAGTAGCCGGGTTGGCGGTAGAGTTCCCCAGACTTATAGTACTGGGGGACTTTAATCTGCCATCACTCGGTGATCGCTTAGAGGCGGCGCAGGAGTTCATGGCTTCCATGGCAACCATGGACCTGACCCAGGTAATTCAGGACCCAACTCATAGGGGTGGTCACACACTCGACCTTGTGTTTCTCTCGGGGCAATGGAGACATGATCTGGAATTAAGGGGAATAGAGATCTCGCCCTTGTCATGGACAGATCATTTCCTATTGAGGCTGGACTTCAGAGCATCACTCCCCCATTGCAGGGAGAGGGAGCCGACTAGGTGGTTCCGCCCCAGGCGCCTAATGGACCCAGATTGGTTCCAGGAGGAGCTTGGGGAAATACCTGACTCCCTTGTCCACAACTCGTCCGGGTCCCTGGTTACGGCCTGGAATGAGGCGGCGTCCGGGGCCCTGGATCGAATTGCGCCTTTGCGACCTCTCTGTGGTGGTGGTCCCCGGAGGGCGCCTTGGTTTACTGAGGAGCTCCGGGAGATGAAGCGCCACAAGAGACGTCTAGAGCGACGTTGGAGGGCCAGTAACTCTGAATCTGACCGATCACTATTAAGAGCCTATCTTAGGACTTATTTAGTGGCGATAAGGGTGGCAAAGCGTGTTCACTTTTTCGCACTTATTGCGTCCGCAGAATCTCGCCCGGCCGCCTTGTTTAGGGTGACCCGCTCCCTTCTTAAAGTGGAGGAGGTGGAGGAACCCTTGTAGGGGAGAGCTGAGGAGTTTGTTCAGTTTCTGTCGGACAAAATCGCTCAGATTCAGAGAGACCTGGACTCCGACTGGGCAGTGCCAGCCGAGTTGCCAGGGGCTGGTCTTAGTCATGTTATCTGGAGCGAGTTTGAGCCTGTGACCCCTGATGAAGTGGACAAGGCCGTGAGGGCAATGAATGCCGCCACCTGTTTATTGGACCCGTGCCCCTCCTGGCTGGTTTCTGCCAGTAGGGAGGTGACACGAGGCTGGCTCCAGGCGATAATCAACGCCTCCTTGATGGAGGGGTCTTTCCCGCAACCTTTAAAGGAAGCGGTGGTGAGGCCCCTCCTCAAGAAGCCTTCCCTGGACCCAGCTGTTTTGAAGAACTTTCGTCCCGTCTCCAACCTCCCCTTTGTGGGGAAGGTTGTAGAGAAGGTGGTGGCGTCTCAACTCTTGCGATCCTTGGAGGAAACCAATTATCTGGACTCTTTTCAATCTGGTTTCAGGCCCGGCTACAGCACTGAGACTGCTTTGGTCGCACTGACCGATGACCTCTGGCGAGCCCGGGATAGGGGTTATTCCTCTATCCTGGTGCTTCTTGACCTTTCAGCAGCTTTCGATACCATCGACCATGGTATCCTTCTGCGTCGTCTCGGAGAGGTGGGGGTGGGCGGCACCGTATTGCGGTGGTTCTCCTCCTACCTCTCTGACAGGTCGCAGTCGGTGTTGGCGGGCGGACAGAGATCGACCCCTAGGCGCCTCGATTATGGGGTGCCTCAGGGCTCGGTCCTGTCCCCCCTCCTTTTTAACATCTACATGAAACCGCAGGGTGAGATCATTCGGTGACACGGGGTGAGGTATCATCAGTATGCGGATGATACCCAATTGTATATCTCCACCCCGTGTCCTTTCAGTGAAGCAGTCGACGTGATGTGCTGGTGCCTGGAAGATGTGAGGGTCTGGATGGGGGTGAACAGGCTTAGACTCAACCCTGACAAGACCGAGTGGCTCTGGGTCTTGCCTCCCAAAGGCCAACTGGATGGTCCATCTTTAGTCCTGGGGGGGGCAAATTTACCTCCCTCAGTGCAGGCATGCAACTTGGGTGTCCTCCTGGACTCACAGCTAAATTTGGAACAACATCTATCGGCTGTGGCCAGGGGGACCTTTGCACAGGTTCGCCTAGTGCACCAGTTGCGGCCTTATTTGGACCGGGAGGCTTTACTCACAGTCACTCATGCCCTTGTCACCTCAAGACTGGATTACTGTAACGCGCTCTACATGGGGCTACCCTTGAAGGGCGTTCGGAGACTGCAGTTGGTTCAGAACGCAGCCGCGAGAGCGATTGTGGGCGCGCCAAGGTACGCCCACGTGTCACCTATCCTCCGCGAGCTGCACTGGCTTCCTGTGGGTCTCCGGACGCAATTCAAGGTGTTGGTTATCACCTTCAAAGCCCTTCATGGCATAGGGCCAGGTTACTTACAGGACCGCATTCTGCCGCACAGCTCCCAGAGACCGGTGAGGTCCCATAGATTGGGCCTCCTTCAGGTCCCGTCGGCCAGACAATGTCGGCTGGCGGGCCCTCGGGGAAGGGCCTTTTCTGTGGTGGCTCCGACCTGGTGGAATCAACTTCCCCCCGAGGTTCGAACTACTCCCACCCTGCCGGCCTTTAAGAAAGCCGTTAAAACTCTCCTGTTCCGGCAGGCCTGGGGCTGATGTCCCCGGGGGGCCGGAATATGATCGGACTCGCGGTATGACTGGATTATTTTATTCTTTTATGACTGTTTTTAACCTTGTACACCGCCCTGAGTCCTTTGGGATTGGGCGGCATATAAATATTTGTAAATAAATAAATACTGCAGTTATTCATATAAGTCTGATGGATTATAATTTTTTTAAAAAAGATATAAAATTTGCAATATGTTAATACTAGTTATTCAGATGTTCATTAATGTTTTTGGCTTTCTTCAACTGCAGGAGAGCGAGCACATTACCAAACTTTACTGGTCATAATCCACTAAATATAATGTTTTGATTTTTTGGGGGTTCTAATTAATCACATTATTTATAAAACCTGGATTATTTTATATTTCAGAAAAGAATCCAAATGGATGTCTTAACTTAAAATTTGATTTATGCAAAACATGTACAAATGTATGTGTATGATTAATACATATCAACAAAGGTTTGCAGTAATTTAGAAATAAATGCAAGTGAAATATCAATTCACTTAGAGCAAATTAGTGTGTTATTCCCAAATGTCTGATAAATTAGAGAATGTCATTATGTCCATAGCAACGTCATTACACAAATGACATAAATTATATTTGTGTAAATATGCAGATCATATAAAACAAGTTACATACAAGAATTTCATAGCAAAGCAAACTTCTTACATGTTTGAAATATTTGGGTGATCTCTTAAAGTGAGTAAATATTCTAAAAAAGCCAAATTTTAATCTCTTTTCACATGAAGCAAGACTGTTGGCTGGCATATATCAACAAGTTAAGGGAATGCAGCCTCAATCATCTTTGCTACTTTGAAGTTTGCAATAAGGGGCTTTGATATTCCGTGTTAAGCAGACTTGGAGAAATTTCAGAAGCTCTTAACAACAACAGGTATTAAAACATGATTTAAGCCAATAAAACAGGAAAGCATTAGGTAAGTATTTGGACTGTCTATTCCCTGATTCACTTGGGGTATAAAGAGAGAAAAGGTAAAACACAGCCTTGCAAATTCTAATAGCTTATCTTGATAGAGTCTTAACATTATTACCATATTGATCCTTCCTAAAGGTTCTGGAATCTTGTCCAGTAAGGTATTATACAGTTCTGCCTGTCTTGGCAATCTACTTTTGTTATTTCCCCTTCTTTGTATTTTAAAATATTTTTAATTGAATCCTTGTATTCAATTTCCTGGATTTTGTCATGGATTTCCTTCTCATACAGTACCACTCCTCATTCTCTTTTTGTCTGGTCTATTTTTTTTTTCAAGTTGTATCTTTTAGTTCTTGTATACCATTCAAGAGTTTTATTTT